ATTATGGATATTAGTTATTTGGAAGGTAGCATTTTCTAACCAATTAAGCGCACACTCGCGAAGACTAACTAAACACCGAGCAGGGGCATATGCATTCCGCTAGCAGCCATTATCCAACTGAAAGCGGTTGGCGAGGAACATAGCTTTCAGATTTGGAGAAAGCTAACGCCTGCTCCATAGAGGAACTAACCACAGCTACCGCGAAATAGGAAAGCGGCTAAAGAGTCCAAAACTATAATTAATACGGTTTTCTGGGTTAGAAGCAAAAAAATGCTTGTAATATGTCAACTAAGCTGTGAAAATAAAGCAACGTCACAGACATTAAATTTAATTTGCACGGATTGTTGGGGCTGCAGCAGCACCTTCAGCGGTTATGGCGGCCATTTTATAGAGCGATATTCGCAAGTCAACTAGTAGGATTTTTACAGATTTGAGTACTTCAACTTGGAAAATCCCGCTTCGGTGGTCGGCTTACTGTATCATAATTGGTGAAATTCAGAAGGTTCAGTAGGCTAGGACAGCAAATTGATTAAATGTGATTCAGTTCACTGCTCCCGGTCGGGAACTTGTAGATTGGGTAGTTAAAGCGCTAGCTGCATTCTGGTCTTGCTTTTGCCGTCGTGGGCTCGAATTTCACTGTAGTCACCAAGTTTTCTTCACAAGGGAGTCAGATGAATTCACAAGTCGGCCAGAAATGAGTAAACAAGAAGTCATATGTATATAATGCGTTCGGCCAAACCGCGATTTCTATGCGAAGATTTGAAAGGGCTGTAAATAACCCCGTCCTCAGTGTTTGGCACTTTTGTTTTAGGAATGGGGGTGGTTAAAAGTCATCCTCCAAAGAAATTTGGTAACCTGCATCGTATAAATGTCAAGGCCATCAGATAAAACTGCTAAACTTCTAAATTTATCAACCCCACTCCTTTAGTTCTTTCTCATTCATTTTTGTTGCTTTTCTTCCACTTTGGATTATTGATTATATAAATAGAATATTTTGGGAAAAAAGATTAACTGGGTGCCTCACACTGTCGGAATCAGATCAATACTGTCCGCGATAAGGAACTTATCACAACTCATTACAAGCAGATGCTACCCGAAGAAACGCACTGAATAGACGGATACATATTTAAAACTAAACTGGATTAGTTAACAAACCACTACCTTAGATACCCGGAAATGGGTGGGGAGACCGTGGCTAGAATGGCTGAAGCTCTTGAGAGGAACTCAAAAACTTCCATTCGGGGAGGAGTCAGTGGGCTAAATTTTCCTCCAAATTACACGAGGAAGACTGACAGACGAGGCTAGATTTTTGCCATTTGAAACAGTCAGACAGTGAAAAAATCCTGCGTTTATTGATAAGCTGACCTTTTCAGATGAGGCGGCTTTTCCTGTCTTCGGTAAAGTCAGTAGCTATCATCGTAGCAGACGTGGAAATTGAATACCACATGAAGGCTGCTAACAGGTTAAGAATTCTGCGAAAGTAAGTGCGTGGTGGGTAGTCAGAAAGTCTCCACCACGTATCCTCTTACCTTTGCTAAAGAAGGAGAAAAGTGTATACCAATGCTGAATATTTTTTTCCTTCCCTATTTGTAGGAACAAAACATTTTTCCAGCGGAATGGAGCACCCTACCATTACGGAATGAGGTTGCGAAAGTTCTTAAGTAAAATAATTTCAAACAGATGCGTTGGTGAGTGTGGACCAAGCCGCATTCATAAAAGTCATCCTCACAGGACCTTTTTCCGCAGAGCCATGCCGAAACGAACTTCTTCCGACAAAACTTCATTTTTTGAGTAAACGTAAGGCCAGAGAGACAAAAGCAGCTAAATCAATATCATTAACGCAATGGATACAGAAGGTTTGAGAAAGACGTCAAGTGCAATAAAATTAACGTAAAGCAAGAAGAAAAGTTCGCGAGTTGGGCCTCCGTACGGTTCATATTCAACTATTCCAACATTTTCACATAAATTGCTTAAAGTCAGAAATACTGTAGAAGGTGGTGGACAAGTTATAGCTGTTGTCGCTGCTGTAGAGTAGACTACTAGGCAGGTGCTCTCAGTCCATCCCCACTTCCCATCTATGCTCTGGTATTCACCAGAGACAGCTAAGGTAGGAGTGGTTTAGCTTGCTTGTCTCTCTTTTGTAAACTGTCCAGCTCTTCACCGCGTACGTTAGCGTCGTCAACAGGGCGGTCCTATACAAAGAGTTCCACGTTTCGTTACAGGATCTCCTCCTTTATGGTGTTCGGTGGGCAGTCATTCGCACAACTAAGAGCTCATGAACAGTGAACTCGGAAAGTATCATCATTGCCTGTATAAGTCGACTGTTGCGCAGTTGTCCGTTGGTTAGGTAGGTGATGATAATCCCAGATCACTCCTGACGGTAGGCACCAAACAAAATGACGGAGAACATGAGAGCAAAGAGGATGAGAGCAAGTACAGAATCCTGCTTTACCTCATTTTTAACCACAAATTCATCTACATCTGAGCGGTTGTCCATGACGCGTGCGTAACTGGCTCCAAGCTTCTGGATCTCAGTTAAACGTTTCCAGAGTCTATTACCTTTTTACTGCATTGGACGTCTTTGTTGAAGCCCACAAACATAATGCTGGTCAGCATTTGGGGCCCTTTCCCACACAGCTGGCGTGCCATGAAGGCCATGTCCATAGTACACATTGCTTAGGAAGTCCTCATTTTGTTCCCGGAGGTAGACCCAGTCTTATGTGTGTTCAGACAGCCGTGTGATCAGCGGACAAATATCTCACCAGCATTGCTGTGTGGCTACCGTGGATCTGTCGGTTTCTGTCGTAAATATGACCGATGGTTGCATTCTTGAAATCCTGCGAGATCTGTCTCTTTTGGTACACCTCCTGAATAAATGGGGCAAGGTTGTTCATGAAGTTAGGAGATCTGTTTTTACAAGTGTTGGCTGGAGTTAAGTATCTGCTCGTAGCTTTTCCGCTGTATGTTTATTGCACCAGTCTCTTTCCTCGCCTGCATGGAGGTCGGAGGTTCGAGGTCAGCACTGATGCCCACTTGAAGGGAGTCTCACGATAGCTTCCCGCCAGAGTGCAGATGGAGGTCTGAGGGCGTGTTGCAAGCACAAAGGACACGGTTGCCAATCCAAGATAATGGATATCAGAATAAGACAGGAGTTATGAAAGAAAATTCTGGCGCCTCAGCACAGTAGCCACCCCACCCCCCCCACCCCCCCTCGGGGACCGGAGGGCGACAGAAACGACACCGAAGGATGTGTACACGTCTAAATGAAGTGAGTAACCAAACGATCAGGAAAGTGGACGTGACAACCACTGCGAGTGATATATACTGGGTCCGAACGATAGGAGGCCTGGAAGGTGTGTCAACCACCTCATTCCGAGACCCGTCAATATGGTAGGTGTCTGAAGTGAACTGTAAAATGTAGTCCAGGTAGTGGATCTCCCGGGGGTTTAGTTTGTCGGAGTGGGGCTGCAGAGCAAAGGTGGATGGCTTGTGATCTACAAAAATTGTGGAAATTTAAGTGATACACCCATTAGTTGGGCACAGTGAGTAGGCTACCCATCCAGGAAACAAAGATGGTGGTATCCCAACATTTGCAAACTAGTAAATAAGAACAAAATCGTTTGTAGACAAAAATGCACGTGCTTGTTCTATGTCTTATTCAAAAATGTGTCATGGTCTTTAAAACGCGCATTGTAACTGAGTAAAAAACGGACTTAAATGTCACTTCAAGCCTTCGACTTTCCAGTAAATGCCGGAAGTGCCTCACGGCAAGATAAACAGCGAGACGTTCACGTTCGAATGTGCTGTAGCGGGTTTCGACCTTGGATAATTTCCTGGAGAAGAAAGCTAAAGACCCGGTAGAATCTGGCAGACTTTGTTCGAGAACCGCACCAACAGCAACATTGGAGGCATCGACCATCAGATATATGGGTGTATCCTCATGAAAGTGAGTCAGGAGGGTGGCATCAGCCAGAAGGGCTTGTACCTGCTCAAACGACTTGAGTGCTGTTGGTGTAAGTGCGAAGATTCGTTAAGAACCTGCGAGGAGATTAGTCAGTAGGAGGATGTCGTCGAAACAGTTTGGGAGAAACCGACGATAAAATTTTACCATCGCAAGGAACCGCTGCGGCTGACGCTTCAAGGTCTGGGGTAGAAAGTCCCGAATTCGGGCAACCTTTGAGGGAAGAGGCCGAATGTCTTTGGAGTCAATCAGATGACCTAAGAACTCAAGAGAAGTGACTCCTAGGACACATTTGGCAAGGTGCAGGGTGAAGCCAGACAGCTGAAATCGGTCGAAAAGTGGGGTAGGCTGTTGAAGATGTTCCTCGACATCCGGACTTGTGACGAGAACATCAGAAATATACGCAAAAACAAATGGAAGGCCATGTAAAACACGGTCAATGAAACTTTGGAAAGTCTCTGAGGCATTTTGGAGACCAAATGGCATAGGAAAAAATTCAAACAAGCCAAAAGAGGCCATCACTGTCGTTTTGGGAATGTCCTCAGACGCCATCAGAATTTGATGAAAAGCCCGGACGAAATCGATCTTCGAGAAAACGGTTTTGCCACAGAGAGCTCCGGAAAAGTACTGGAGATGAGGAAGAGGATAGCGGTCTGGGATGGTGACATTGTTCAAGGCCCGATAGTCACCGCATAGGCGCCAGCCATTCGTTTGTGGTTTAGGAACCATGTGCAAAGGAGATGACCACGAACTCTTAGACAGTTGAATAATGCCTAGTTGCAAGATATGTTCAAATCCAGCCTCAGCAGCTGCAAGGCGGGTGGGAGCAAGATGGCCGAGACGAGAGTAAACGGGAGGGTCAGTTGTTTTTATGTGATTAACAATATCATGGGGCAATTAAGAGTCAGAAACGTGGGGCCTAGTGAGAGTAGGATAATTTGCTAAAAGTTTACGGAATGGACGGTTAGAGTTTGGGTCAAAAACGAATAGATTTTTAAAAGCTGAGAATGGAAAAAATTCTTTGACGGTGAGGGTAGTTGTGCGGTCATGGATGCGAAGTTGCCTGCAATCCATCAGAAGGTCGAAGGCGGCCAAAAATCGGCACTAAGGATAGCAGTAAGAACATCAGCCACTACAGAAATTCGAGGAAAAAGTCGCCTGAGACCAATGTCAAAGGAGATTAATCGGGATCCAAAAATCACGATGGAGGAAGGGTTCACAGCCTGGAGAAAAAGACCATGGTTGAGACAACGTCGGTCGGCCGGGGTTGGAGGGATAACACTACTTTGAACGCCATTGTCGATTAAAAAACGTCTGTCACTCGTGTTATCACAAATGTAAAATGTGCGACTGATAGAGTTGCCAGAGAGCTCGGTCGCATTTATTATCTGGCCGAGGAGTTTCCCTGTATGGACTTGAAGGAGCAGGGTGGGAGGCAGTGGGGCGCCTTATCGCCAAGGTTTACATGATACCAACGTAGGCTTGCGGTCCTAGGGCGAGAGCTGGAACGACAACGGTGAAGGCCAAAGGAACGTCGAGATGGGCCGGCAGATCGGCGCAGCTGCAAGGCGGCAACAGTCGCCGACAACTGGACAATCTGTGTCTTTAGCTCAAACAGGTGGACGCAGTGAGAGGATGTGAAACCTGAGGAGCCGTCGTGGATGACAAATGCTCAACCTCCATTATACGATCGGCCATTTCCGTTGTTTGCACCGATCTCGGCAGACGTTCTTATAACATCTCCTTAAAGAACTTATCAACGATGGCCATTTTCCCAACAAGAGAACGCATTCGACGCAGGAGTTCCTACGGCTTACGATCACCTAAGGCCTCTTCTTTTACGAGTGCATGATAACGCTGACGATCTGAAACTGAGGTCAGGCGATGTTCAGTCTTTAACTTCGTATATGGAGCATCAGTCGGGAGATCATAAAAAAATGTCTGCACTTGGGAAAGAATGGTAGGAGGAAGAGCCTCGACAAAATTATAATACTTGTCGGTTTCTCGTGTTACATTTTCAGAGTGAAACGTTGCCTCAATACGGAAGAAATAAGGTTCAGGCGCATGTTGCCAGATGTATGGGAGGGAAAAGGCAGCGCCAGTGGGAGAAATAGAGGCATCGTTAGAATCCGTAGAGGGCGTGGTGGCAGACAGAATCAAGGGGAACTGACTACATACAAGCAGCAAATCTAAGTCAGCAGATTAAAGGCGTAAGCGTGAACGTCAAAAGTGTCACCACTGTTGCGAGCGCAAAGGACACGATTGCCAATCCCAGACTATGGATGATCAGAACATGACAGGAGTTATGGAAGAATTAATAATTAAGTGTCAAACGATCTTATAGTCCAACACATGCCACGCGCGTCGCGTTGTGCCGAGTTTTTTTTCCATTCAACTAAACAAACAGTAAGTTCAAGAATGGTGAACAGGAAGGCAAATGTAAGAAAGTCTGGCGCCTCGGCACAGACGCTCCTGATATGCGCGATTCAGCCTTCAGGAAAATGAGTCCTCCGACAGTATGGTTAACTCGTGTGAACTGAGGAATTGCAGAGTTCTCTCAGACGGTGTGTTGTAGTCTACTTTAATAGACGCGAATAAGTGCTCAATTTCACTCCGGTCGTCATAGCCTTGGAGTTCTTTGCATCGTGTGTCAGTCAATCTCTCGGGGTATCTGCTGAACTAGATTTCGGCATCGGAAACATGCGGCTATAATTTCGATTCTATTGAGGACATAGTTAATACGCAGTATGTCGTCATTTACTAGAAGGCAAAGGACATATTTAACGATGCCATCGAACTAGTCCTGTGACTGTCGGCCTGTGCTCCTGAAGACTTTTAAAACCATGGTGTTGATGATATCCCATTGCCATTTACGTTAGTTCTATGAGGGGACGAAGACTACATTTCGCGGTAGTGGTATGGGCAGACGTTATGGCATGTGGAACCAAGCGTTTTGAGCTCGCAAAAACGAAACTCCGTACGGCTTTGCAGGACTAAATTGAGCGCGGAACGGGGGCAAGCAGTTCTGTAAAACATTAACTGTAAATAATAATAGCCATTAAACGCACTGATCTACGACATGGCCTAGCGGTTTGCAAATGTTGGAAGTAACCAACTGAAGGTTAGCTGCATCACACCAGCTCGGCTGCCGAACTATGAAAGCACGAAGATGCACTAAGAAAGTTTGTTTTGGTCGGCAGGATATTCACTTTCTGGCAAGGGCTTTGTACTGGAGGAACGCCGAATCAATGTTCTGACCTTAGAAACCTTTTAAGCCTCTGGGTAACTGGGTCCACTGCTAACTCACTTTGCGCTCGCGAAATACACTTTTTCACACGAGTACAATCACATTCACTGACAAAACTGGGGATGGAGTATAGAGGCCCGGCATCTTTATTCGCTATGTGACGGCAGAATTACAGAAAACAGAGAATGATACCTCGGACGCATGATAGGCTATTTCGCTGCTACAAAATAACTCCTACCCCACTGTACTTGAAACAGCGTCACTCACACAAGGCAAAGATGTCCGGAGAAATTTTGGAGGAATTGGCTTGCCAGACCAGTCACGTCACAGACGACCACTGTACTTCCAGAAGCTAGTTTAATTAAAATGCTGTTTTTAAAGAGCCACGTTCTTCACCTAGCACATTACTATAGACCCTCTTCGCTCTTCGTAAAGAGCGTAAATGGCGGGCTCAGTTTCGAATGGCAGAGGACGAGGTAAGATGTGGTTATATAGCCCCAGCTGATGAACACAGTACTGTTGGGGTTGGAGTTCGAGTTAGGGCAATTATTTCTCAGGCCCTCGAAGTAAAACCGCGCATTGACAAAAGCTTTTCTTTTGCATACAACTACTTGACCTCGTCGCCTGTGCGTTCCTCGGCCACACCTGTAAAAGCGCCTTTTACCACCGCTTACGTATTACAGGTGACTGGGGTTTGTTTACTTAAGATGGGGCTACATAACCACATCTGACCGAGGATTACAACGTGTGCATACTACCCTCGTTAAATACACCAGTATCGCTGCCGACAAAATAGATGAGGAGCACCTTGTAGATAAACGCTGTCTTAAATTTCCTATGAGTTTGAGCATACAAGGTGGAAGTATCAAACGTACAAAAAACATGGGCATAATGGCGCCCCCTGATTCTCATCCTTGAAAAAGCTGACGACTCACTGCTCCTAAACTTGTTTACCAGAAATCACTTCAGGCACATTCGTATCTGGCAGTTTATCGCTTGGAAGGAGCAAACATATAGAATAGTAAACTTGAACTACACAACTGAGTGGCCCACTTAACAATCAGACACCACCAGGCATTCATCGGACCTTCGGTCCATACCGTATATTTATCACTACTTCTCTTACCATAAGTATTCACAATGATTTCGCCTGAAGATTTCAATTTACAGCCACGTAGAGCATCAGCCAGTGACAAAAACTCCATATGTTTGCTCAAGTGATTGGCCATAAAATGTGCAATGCAGCAGCTAAGTGGCAAATATTTCTGTCCGGTAAATCTGGCATGCCTTTCTCACAGTATTTGTTCCGTTACCGCCGTTATGGTACTGGCTCACTCGAGTAGTTATCTGATGAACTCCAAGCAAAGACTTGATTCTGAAAAAAAACAAGGGTGGTATGTGACAACGGTGTCTCCACTGAATGAGTAAGCGTTCTAACCCATTTCCTCCCGGCGTCATTTCCAAGGACTGGCAGCAACATATGGCGGGAGCTTCAAATTCGTCTGATACGGCAGCTGGCATTACAGTCATCCTAACTGCTGCTAGCTGGCTAGCGCTCTCCGAAAATATCGGCTCACGCTTAGTTAAATCTATCGCTGCCGCTCCGATGGGAAACATCAGCGCCGAAAAATTTGCCGTTCTCTTTGTCTGGCCCGGCCGCTGGCTTGCCTAGCAGGTGAAGGGCGGTCGCAGGCGGATGAAAAGTGGCTAATGGGACCAGGCGAGCGTAAGCTGCAGTTAGAGTGAGAGGTTGGAGAGTAGTAAAGGCGGCTGAGAGAACGCGCACGGCGTTCAGACGCTCCATAAGGTAATCAATAGACTGGGCACATTGACCAATTACTGCCGTGCGACGTTACCATTGGTTAAATTTGTGCCAATCGGCGCTAGATCTAGTAGCCACCAGGCTGTTTAACGCGCCACTTGGGCGCATTGCATTTCGTGCACATGGTTGTCAGCTGGCTTTCCTTCCTGCGCGCCGCTTAAGTGACGGTCTCCGCCACTGTCGTCTTAGCAGCGTTTTTCATACTCACATCGCGCGCGTGCACGTTGGAAATGTGATCTCTAGGCCAGGGATGTATATGTCTTCCACCAGCTGGCCTCAACGAGTTCTGACAATCAACTCACTATTCGCGAATGAGGCGATTTTCCCTCAACGCTGTCACTCTGCTGGTAAACAGCGGATGTACCTACGCCTTTCACACCCATTTTCCCTTACATGTCTCACATTCCTGGCCTGTTTTCTAATCTTTGCCAGCGCCCAGGGTCCGAAGGAGGCCTGCGAAGTTCACAGGCCACCGTCTGCCAAAGGAAACTTTACAAATGAAAAGGAAGTTCGCGAACAGTTTGCCAAACTCGCAGAACAATGCAATCGGGTAAACAGGAGGCGGTTGAGAAAGGCTACTGACGAATTAACATCCATCCGGGGTTATCCCATTCCGGCGGTCGTAAATTTGGGTGTTCAACTGGCGGTAGAAGGGAGAGATTGTTTTGCACAGCTTTTGCCCGCGATCGATGTGGCCATCGAAAAAGTGTCGAACTTGCCACCGTACCTCAATGTTACTTTCAGGGTAGTACCCATAATGTACCTAGATTGGCTGGCGTGCGATTCTCTCGCTATATTGGAACAGTTCAACAGGGGCGGAGTACACGTAGTTTTCGGACCTTTGAATGACTTCGTTCTCGGTGCGTCAGCAAGGTTTTCAACGGCCCTTTATTCGATTCCAATAGTTTCGCCGTCAGCGTCTGCCGTGACTCTCTCGGATAAACATGAATTTGAAATGCTAACAAGAATGTTCTACACCTACACTGACCTGAAATGGGTCTTTGATCAGACCCTGGAAAAGTTCAACTGGAAACCAAGCTCCACAACTCCCATTGCAATGCTTACTATACTTCCTGAATCATTTGAGGATGGCTTCAACGCCGGACTTGATTCCCTCTTTCAGAAACAAGCCGTCTCCGACACTTTGACTTCGTACAAGGCCTTCACACACGACTTAAAAAGGTCTATGAGAACTTGGCTTCCAGTTCTAACAGACCTTCCTAAACAGGCAAGAAGTAAGTTTAGTTCCTATTTCCATCGATCCTTTTCGGTACTTTCTCCTATGCCCATCCAATTTCAACAGTTTAATGCGGGAGTTCGGGCCGGCAAATGAGTCTCATTCCAACTCCTCCTCCCTGGGGCTTGCTCACCATAAGCAGTTGGGCGGGTAAAGTTCTCGTGCTGCTGCTGCTACCGCACACCTAACCAAATAAGTTCAGCAGGTGGAGGAGGGAGAGGGACCGGTGGTAAAAAATCCAGACCATAGTTCATGCGTTTTTGTCCTTTCGGTGTAAAAGGGAACTGTACCTCTGTGAGGTTTCGGCCCTTTCGTACAGGACTGGGTTGAATCTTTCAGTTTGCTGTCTTTAAAATCCAAGCAGCCTCCTAGTGGACTTCCTTGCTGCATGCGTTGTACAACGTTTCCCTTGTACGTTTTTGTTTGAAAAGTCCACAACGCGTCATCTGTCTCCGCGATCTGTTCTCCAAGCTGACCTCATTCTGCAAGTTGTCTCGACGAGAATCATATTTCGCAGTTTCCAATAAAGAGCGTTTAACGCTGCACACTATTACCCGTCCCTATATGCACCCGCCTGGATAAATGTTCTCACTTGCTTACATAGTTTGACAAACGTAGGTAAATTAAAGTTTTAAATATATATAAACTCAGGTTAGCTCTGGTAGGACCGCCGCAATTCTCTCCTCTTGGCTGCACATCTTCCTCGAAATAGTTTCCCTGCACATTTTCATACAAAATTCGATTACCGAACGTCCCTAAGAACTAGTGCGTTGTTTTTGATTCTTGTGAATGCCTGCCACCAGATTTTCCTTCTGCTTTTCTGGTACGAATATCTATCATTTACTGCTCTGTTTTCGGTGCGAACGGCAGACTTCCCGTGTTCAGTTTTCAGAAGGTCAGAAGGTCACTCTTGTCATCTAAGAATGATAATTCAATCAAGTTTTCGGTACTTGAAATAAAGGCGTTTGCATTATTTGCGATGCCCCTTTGGGGCATACATCACGAACACATCGTGTGGTTGTTTGGGACTTTTGCCCAAAACCAGATCCAAACTGTCCTTCATTCTTCCCTAAGGCTATCTACTCTGGCATTTAGACTTATTGGGGCTTAACCACAGGGCACCAGTGACATGACAACGCATGTGATAATTACAGATCATCCTCTCGTTTGCGTCTTCAATTTTTTTAATGGTCAGCACACCGGGCTGCAAACTGTCGTTTCCTGCTGAGATTAACGTTGCTGTTCGGTAACTGTTTGCTAGTCGGAGGCTTTAGTTCCTAATTGCTCTTTGCTGAAGGTATTTAGGCTGCCTATCATTCGTTGACATCACAGTTATTTAACAGTCATTCTAACATGTGCGCCTAGTTTTAATCCGAAAAGTCGGATGCCATAGTCATGCGAGTCCATACGTAGAACAAGTAGTTTATGCTTTTTCATCAATTATTGTATCTAGTGTGCCTGCATAATTAAGAATTGTATGAAACATCTATAGAATTGTTTTTGAGTGGCCGTAACCACGCAAGAAATTTGGGTCATCAGTCAGCCATGTTCAGCGTAATATATTGAACTAGTCGAACTTGAGGAACCGCGTGCCCATAGTTCTCTCGCCCTCTGCATATACGTATATATATGAAGATAGAAGGCTCGTCAGAAAAAAAAATCGAGTTGTACTCATATATATATATATATATATATAACAGCGAGGAGGGACGACAGAGAATGCGGGTAGATTGATACAGCACTGTTTCGGGCTTATTCTGCCTTCATTCAGCCAGTCATAACCCTGACCACCAGCAGCTGCGACCAGAAACACAAACATGCGCACAGACGCACCTGGCGCAGTCGGTCCACCACTGAGGCCTACCAGATGGGCCATAAGCACTTCATCGAACCGATGTGCCTCGCCACCTGTCATTCTCTGTCGCTGCAGATCGGGTATTTATCAATCAGGAATGGGCGCACACCGATCCATTGGCTTCCCGAAGCAAACAAGCTTCGTATGGGCGATAGGGGTCACGAACAGGCAACCACCTACCAGGCCGAAGTCGGCCAAGCTATGATAGCAGAGGGGAGACGACAGAGTCAGGGGGTAGATTGATACAGCACTGTTTCGGGCTTGTTTGCCTTCATTCAGCCAATCATAACCCTGACCACCAGCAGCTGGTCCCGGAAACACAAACATGCACTCAGACGCACCTGGCGCAGCTGGTCCACCACTGGGGTCTACCAGATGGGTCATAAGCACTTCATCGAAACGAAGTTCATCAGTGCCTCGCCACCTGCCATGCTCTGTCGCATGATATATAGGCAGAATGATATTACCGACAAAGACAAGGGAGACTGGAATGGCCATTTCTGGCTTATTAGCCGTCGTCAGCCAGCCATACCCAAGCCCGAAGTGTGGAACACCCGAGCCTCGAACTCGCGACCTGTTGGTTTAGAAGTCAACGCCTCTACTCACCGGGACACGAGCCCGGTGATATTACCGAGCCCAACCAGCAGCCGCAGAGCGGCTGCTGGTTGGGCTCGAGAGAGAGCCCTTAAGGCACAACGGAACGAGTGAGTTCCGTAGGAACGATCGGTGAGCGCCCCCTAACATTGTATATTCCCGATCGAAAACCGACAAGGCAACGGGCTCGTGGCCCGGTGAGTAGAGGCGTTGACTTCTAAACCAACAGGTCGCGAGTTCGAGGCTCGGGTGTTCCACACTTCGGGCTTGGGTATGGCTGGCTGACGACGGCTAATAAGCCAGAAATGGCCATTCCAGTCTCCCTTGTCTTTGTCGGTAATATCATTCTGCCTATATATCATGCGCCGCTGTGCGGCTGCTGGTTGGGCTCGAGAGAGAGTCCATAAGGCACAACGGAACGAGTGAGTTCCGTATGAACGATCGGTGAGCGCCCCCTAACATTGTATATTCCCGATCGAAAACCGACAAGGCAACGGGCTCGTGGCCCGGTGAGTAGAGGCGTTGACTTCTAAACCAACAGGTCGCGAGTTCGAGGCTCGGGTGTTCCACACTTCGGGCTTGGGTATGGCTGGCTGACGACGGCTAATAAGCCAGAAATGGCCATTCCAGTCTCCCTTGTCTTTGTCGGTAATA